CTTCTCACTGGTCTTCGGTCGCTGCATCAGACAAACCCCAGTTGTCAGTGATGGCACCAGGCTCAGTGCAGGATGTGCTGGCGGGTGCTGTGGTGGAGGAACAGGGTCCCACCATGGGACCCCCTTCTCTGGGGGATGATGCCCCAGGCCCTCTCCCGGTGGTTCAGTCGTCGTCCTCCTTTCCAGACGAGGTAGTGGCGGGGCCCTCCTATGCTAGCCCACCAGATGACTTTAAGGAGCACCAAGCCCTGCTCCAATAGGTGGGCACCAACTTAGGCCTCGAGGTGGAAGAGATGGGGGATCAATTGGACACGTTGTTCAATGTGCTCTCCACGTCCACCCCCGCACGTGTCGCACTCGTGGTGCACGAAGGGGTCCTGGACATTGCCAAAGGCCTCTGGCAAACCACGTCCTCTATCCCACCCACTTCCAAGAGGGCCAAGAAAAGGTATTTTGACCCCACCAACAGGTTCAAATACTTATATACCCACCCGCCCCTGGGGGTCATTGGTCGGTGGCTAACAAAAAGGACAAGCGGGGGCCTGTCAGTTCCACCCCCCAGAATAAGGAAGCCAAGAGACTGGACCTTTCTGGAATTAAAATTTCTTCCACGGCAAGTCTCCAGTTCTGGGTAGTGAACCACTTAGCTCTTTTGGGATGTTATAATTTTAACCTGTGGGACTCCCTCCACAAGTTTAAGGACTCCATGTCCCAGGAGGTGGCTCAAGAGTTCGGGGGTCTTGTGGAGCAAGGTACTGCAGCAGCTTGGTGCTCCCTCCAATTGGCCTGGGATGCGGCCAATTTGGCTGCCAGGGTGGTCTTAGTGGTTGTTATGAGGCACAGCTCCTGGCTTCAGACCGCCGGCCTGTCCCAGGAGATGCAGTCCTCCATACAAGATCTTCTGTTCGATGGAGTTGGGCTGTTTTCCGATCAGACTGACATGAGGTTGAATGGTCTGAAGGACACTCAGACCACCCTCCGCTTCCTGGGGATGAATACGCGTCAGTCTGAGAGGAAGCTGTTCTGGCTGCCCCCTCTGCTAACGCCTTGGCAGCCTCAGCAGGGATCGACGAGGAGAAGGGATGCTGGGTTCAGTCGCTGCCACCTTTCCTCCTCCCACTTGCCTGTGCAGCCTGGTCTGGCGAAGCACAATGGGGGCCAGAAGCGGGCGTTTTGAGGGTACGCTTGAGAGCGACACCGCGGTCACCTCCCCGGATCTGCCCCATCTTTTCCTCAATCATCTCCATCCCTACCATTCAGCCTGGTTGAGAGTCACTGCAGACCGTTGGGTGCTAGAAATTGTCACTGAGCTACACCCTTCAGTTTTTGGCCATCCTCCCTCTTCCCCGTCCCTCTTCAGGGTCCCTTCTCATGAGCAACTCCTCGTTCAGGAGGTAAACAACCTCCTATAACTGGGGGCAGTGGAGGAGGTCCCTGAGGAAATGAGAGGGAAAGGTTTCTACTGCCACTATTTCCTGATCCCGAAGGCAAAAAGGGGCCTATGTCCTGTTCTGGACTTGCGACGACTCAACAAGTGTCTCAAGGAGTTGAAGTTTCGCATAACGTCCCAGGCTTTCATTATTCCCTCACTGGATCCGGGAGACTGGTATGCCGCTCTCGACATGAAAGATGCTTATTTCCGTATCTCTATCTTCCAAAGGCACAGTTTCTCCGTTTTATGGTGGGTCAGCGCCATTTCCAGTTCTTGGCGCTCCCCTTTGGCCTCTCCTCAGGCCCGCGGGTCTTTACAAAATGCATTGCCCCTGTAGCCACTTACCTGAGGCGAGGGGTCCAGGTCTATCCTTATCTCGACGATTGGCTCATCAAGGGCAGATCGTGGGATCACGTGCAGAGCAGCCTCGATCCGCTGCGGTCCATATGCTGCGACCTGGGCCTGTTATTGAATGAAAAGAAATCGACCCTTGTACCAGTGCAATGCATATCGGGGTGGTTCTCGATTCCATGTGGGCCATGTGGGCATTCCTTCTGGAGACCCGTTTCTGCGCCATGTTGGATGTAATCTCCCAGGTGAGGGGCCACACGCTCACAACTGTCCGCACTTGCCTAAGGCTGCTTGGCCACATGGCTACTTTTACTTGTCTGTCATGCCTGGCATCGCCTCCAGCCACTGCAGGTGTGGTTGGTGTCGGTCTACATCCCCAACAGGCAATACCTGGACCTGGCGTGGTGGCTGGACCCCGCATCGGTGTTGCAGGGAGTCCCCTTCACGGCCCTGTTGTGGACTCTGGTGTCCGATGCCTTGGAGCTAGGCTGGGGAGCCCACCTGGGCGAGCTCAGTACACAGGGCCGCTGGTCGGGAGTCGACTGCTCCTTCCACATAAATGTCAGGGAGCTCAGGGCGGTTCCACCTGGCCTGCCTGGCTTTTCGGTCCCAGTTACAAGGCAAAGTGGTTCAAGTCCTGACAGACAACACCACCATGAAGCTTTCTATCAACAAGCAGGGCGGAGCCAGGTCATCAGCCCTCTGCCAAGAAACCCTCAGACTCTGAGACTTTTGTGTGCAGCATGCCATTAATCTCGTGGCAGCACTCCTCCCTGAAACCAGGAACGTATTGGCAGATCACCTCAGCAGAACCGTCTCATCTCGCCATGAGTGGTCTCTCCATCCCGATGTCCAACAGGTCCTACTGGAGAGTAAAAAGTCCTCCATTAGAGCAACCTACCTGGCCAAATGGAAACTATTCACATGCTGGGTCTCGGCCCAAGACATTAGGCCTGAGTTGGCCTCGCTGCACCTGATCCTGGACTACCGCATGCATCTCAAGCTTCAGAGTTTGTCCCTTTCGTCAATTAAGGTCCACTTGGCTGCTTGGTTAGCCTTTCACCCTCCATTCCAGGGCAGATCAGTCTTCATTCATAACATGACGGTCTGGTTCTTAAAAGGTCTGGAGCAGCTCTACCCTCAAGTCCAGGATCCAGTCCCTCCGTAGGGCCTGAATCTGGTCCTCGCACAGCTCATGAAAGCTCCCTTCGAGCCCTTGGTGTCCTGTTCCCTTCTTCTGCTCTCCTGGAAGGTGTCATTCCTGGTGGTGATAACTTCTGCCCAAAGGGTCTCTGAGATTAAGGTGCTTACATCGGAGCCGCCCTATATGGTGTTCTTCAAGGACAAGGTCCTGTTGCAGCCACATCCGGCTTTCCTGCCCAAGGTGGTTTGGCAATTTCACACAAGCCAACACATATTCTTGCCAGTCTTCTGCACAAAGCCTGATAAGTCTGAGGAGGAATGTAGGTTGCACTCCCTGGATGTCAGGAGAGCACTAGCCTTCTACATCGAGAGGACCAAGCCATTTCGTAAGTTGACACAGTTGTTTGTTGCGGTGGCAGATAGAGAGAATTTCATCTTGGATCACAGCCTGCATCCGATTCTATCATCAGGCAAAGGTGCCTTCACCGGCGATTGTAACCGTCCACTCAACTAGAGCACAAGTCTCGTCAGCAGCGTTCCTGGCCCATGTGCCAATTTCAGATATCTGCAGGGCTGACATTTGGTCTCCGTACATATGTTCGCGTCTCACTATGAGCTTACACAGCAAGCCCGAGACAACGCTCGGTGTTACAAGCCATACATCTATGAACTCCGAGCCCATCTCTAGGGATACTGCTTGTGAGTCACCTAGAATGGAATCGATATGAGCAAGCACTCAAAGAAGAAAAAAAGGTTACCTACCTTTCGTAACTGTTGTTCTTAGAGATGTGTTGCTCAAGTCCATTTCATTACCTGCCCTCCTACCCCTCTGTCCGAGGTTTTTTTTTTTTTTTTAAAGCTTTTCTTTCCTTTGCTGTTTTACTCTGAGTTGTAAATCAGTCTTCATGGGAATAATATGTAATTTTGAAAACCTGATTTTGTAGTATCTTGATAGGAAATCCTGACCACAAATGTTACAGAAATCCTTTTTTTTTTTTTTTCTTATTGGGTTATAAATGTTTATTGATTAGACCTAAATTCAGTTTAATTATTACTGATGGTTAGACTGTTCACAAACTCTCTAACAGTGGTTGGTTTGAGCTGTGTATGTTGTGTTCTGAATAAATAATATAACAACTTGTAGTGAAAAATTGAATTGTTAATATATGGTATTTGCAAATAAAGGCTAATGATCTGTAATACAGACTTTCATTACACAAAGGTTTTTAAAGATTTGTACTTACATTCTGAATTTGTCTCTGATATGAAGATATTTACTTTGCATCTGTAAAAATGTATGTCTCAAAAAAAAAAATCATTAGCTTAGCATTGAAGTATCTCAAGTCAGAAAGATCACCAGTTAAACCAGCATTAACTTCCCCAACAACCTCAACTCCGATGTGACTCTCCAGTGAGCATCTGACTAGCATGCCAAAAAATAGTGGGGTGGCTGCAGTAGTGCAGGCAGTGGCAGTAGTGGCATAGGCTAGCTGTCCCAAGTACAAGCCTGCCTGAACCCCAGAGTTACGTACACAGGGCAGCTAACCCATACTTCTGCTGCCACTGCCTGTGCTATTGCAGCTACACTACTATTTTTAGCGTGCTAGCTCAGATGAGAATTAGCCATGAGTATGTCCATGGGAACTATCAATCAACCCCCCAGGTTGTAGTGTAGCCATAGCCTTAAATTATGCTGCAGGGGATAGGAAAGAAAGTACACATTTCAAAAAGGAGTCACTTAAAAATCTTTCAGAACTCTGACGAGAGCTTTAACGAGTGTGAAAAGTGCCTAGAACTTTAAAATTTGTCTTTGAAATATCCATATCTGAAATTGATTTTTGTCTTATTTTTTCACTTTATTAGGGTTCGTCTGGTGAAATACTCTTTTTAATATCATTTTTGCTTTAGCTCAAGGGGCTGTGTTTGGAAGCAGGGCTGATAATTAGCTGATGAACATAGTCTGTTTTTAAGTATTTATAGGAGGTTGTTCACTTACGTTCTTTTATATGGTGTAGCAATAATGCAGTTTGGATGTGATCTTCTTTAACTTCACTTTTTTCTCTAATTTTAATAGGAAGACATCTACATGTATGGAGGCAAAATTGAAACAAATAATGGGAATGTCACTGATGAGCTGTGGATATTCAGCATAAACAGTCAAACATGGAGTACCAAAATTCCTGCAATACTTGTACATGGCCAACAGTATGCTGTGGAGGGTCACTCAGCGCATATAGTAGAGTTGGACAGCAGAGATGTTGTCATGATCATCATTTTTGGATACTCTGCAGTGTATGGCTACACAAGCAGTGTGCAAGAGTACTATATCAGTGAGTTCTTTTAAATACTTTCTTTTTGTCCTATATTGATGCTTCGTTTCTGGATTTTTAACCGATCATGAACTTGTTAGGTTTAGAAGAATAAAATATATTTGGCAAGCTCAAAAAACGCTTCTGCTGTTCTTCTTTAATTTTTGATCCAAGTAGCTCTGTTTTCTTTTAACTTACGTAAAATCAGTTTTTTTTTTTTAAATTGGTCGAGTTTGGTTCCTATTTTGGGAATATTGGAGTAGATTGGGTGTGATCACAGTCATGGTTGGGGTACTCAAAGTAAGGCAAGGGTAAGAACCAACAATTTTGCATATATTGAGTTATGATGGTGTGTAAGGTTTATCAACATTTTCTCAGACATAAGTTTATTGAAAAGAAGGTTTAATAAATAGCACGGTATACAGTAATCACCTTAACAATGTTGAAATTTTTGCCCTTGCAAGAATTAATGTTACTGTAGTATTTCCCATTCTTAATTTCAACATTTAATAACTATTCTGATTAATATTACTTACAATGCAATTGTAAAGAGTATAATGGCAGCTACCATAGAAAATAAAATCAATCACAACTTCTATAAATCACTACAACTTCTGTTCTCGTTTCACTAAATCTAGCTATGCTTCTGGATTATTTTATATTTTAGACACCGATAAACGTGTTCCCTTCTAAGTATAAACAAATATAAGATAAAATAATGCTAAATAACTTAATATTTCATTTTATAGACTTCACATAACATTTTCTTTTAATAGTTAGAATAACATATTAAAATGGCCCTTATGATAATCTTTAAGAATAAAGCTAATTAATATGCACATTAATTATTTAATGAAAACAGGAATGTGAAGAATCTTGCTTCACATTCTTCCTTCCTTGTTTTCTGTGGTACTCAACTGAATCCCTAACAATTCTTTTAACAAGACAGTCAGTGGTTACTAGATTGAGTGTGTTAAGAACTTTTACCAGCAGCTTCAGACATGTAAAGGTTCAAAGTGGTATTTTTGTAATGGGACAATTTATTTGAATTTTGTCTCATTTTATATATATATATATATAAATATATATGTGTGAGAGAGAGCGAGAGACACTGAGTATATAATTGCATAAATTTATGTAAGCTGTTCTGGGTAGGGAATAAGTCTTCTGTTGTGCTTGGCCAATTTGAAATAGTTCACCAGTTTTCAGCTGATCACAAGAAGCATAGTTTTAGTTTAATAATGCATAGTTAATGCAGGACTTCAGTTTTGGCTTCATCTAGCACTAAGGTGTCACATGCTTCACTTCAAGCAGTGAACTAGTCTTTTTACTTCAGTGGGATTGCTCACATGCTTAAAGTTTAAGCATGAGCGTAACTGTTTTGCTTAATTGTGGCTTCTATGCATGAAGCCTCTCAACCTGTGTACATTACAGTGACAGAATGCTTCCACTATATTCCTGGCATGATTTCTGAGGACCATATTGACATCTTTTCTAGCAATATCGAATATGTCCAGAAGGGAATGAGAATGGGAGGAAGACTACCGCAATATAGTCTATCCATGTTGATATTTCTGATGCAGCTGCTTAAGACTATCCTAAAATTGCAGTCTCTATCTTCCAAGCTAGGTGTTCCTCTACATTTCTTTGAATTTGAATCAGGGATGCTTACTAGATCATCACAAGACAAGACAAGGCTAGTCAATTTTAATTGCCTCCTAAATCTTGACTATTTGTTTGCATAAGATAGTAATAATCACTAGTTACTCTATAACACTGAATTATAGAAGGCAAAGTCCATTGAAAAAGCTTCCAAGAATGAATGCCTTTTATTGAAGACCTGTTTTAAGAAAAACACAAAGTAAAATAAGAAACATAAATCATGATAATTACTGTAGTTTTCTGCATGATCATTAATGTTTAACAGTACCTTGAATATAGTATATCTATTCTAAGTATTAAGGTCAGAGAAGAAGTACCAAACTCCATGTTTTGAAAATCTTACAGTAACTATGATGTGTTGTTGTTTGGTTTGATTATGAAGTGGTGGTAGTGGTAGTAGTGGGGACCTCTTGCCTCACTTAGGCCTGGTCTACACTACGACTTTAATTCGGATTTAGCTGCGTTAATCCGAATTAATCCTTAACCCGTCCACACAACGGAGCCAGTTACTTCGAATTAAAGGGCGCTTAAAATCGATTTCTGTACTCCACCCCGACGAGCGGAGTAGCACCAAAATCGATTTTGTAAATTCGAATTAGGGGTAGTGTGGCCGCACACCACCGAATTAATGTGGTTAAAATTAATGGGGTAGTGTGGCCGCACACCACCGAATTAATGTGGTTAAAAACCGTATTAATGTGCTTAGTGTGGCCGCGCACAATCGAATTTATACAATCTGTTTCCCAAATTCGAATTATCTAAATTCGAATTAATCTCGTAGTGTAGACGTACCCTTAGCAATGTAAATGAAAATTTCAGTGTTTATTGGATAGTTTATTGCTGGCATTAGAGCTAAAATTCACGACTTCTTTCCATTTTACAGCTTCTTTACTATGTTAGGGCTATATTTGTAGAGGATTAGTAAAACAGAATACTATCTACAACTAAGCAAGTTTAAAAAACAAACAAAAAAACCCCCCCTTGAATCCATGGTTATAAACTCTGAGTGGGGGAGAAATATATTTTGCACTGCTGGCAGTTGTTATGGTTCAGAATTAATCTCAACTTAGTAAGTTTCCTTTCAGAGATATTAGCTTGTCTGCCAATTATAGAAAATATTAATGGGAAAGTGGGTGTTTTCATAGAAAATATATTCCATTATTGAATTAAAAAATAATGTAGATTTGTAGCAATATAAGGTCTTCATATAAAAACTCATTGACAGCAATGAGACTACTTGTCTGAGGAAGGGTTATTCACACAAGCAGTGGTTTTTAGGATCTGCCCTGTATGCTGTAATTGTTCAGTTTCAGCAGATAACCCTCATGTTTTGTTTCACCTTAGTACCTCTTATTTTTGTCCCCCACCAATAGTTAATGAATTCTGTGGCAATTTTTCCCCAATTCCTTGGCAATTTCAATATTTATCTCTAGCTTTGCAGCATTGAAATCATTTTTAACCATGAAATTTCAGATGGTGGTTTGCACTAAGCATGACTTGCTTTTTGGAACTCAGAAGGTATGGCAAGTGATAGATGTATTTATGTAGAACCCTCTAATGTCCTGTTCAGAAAGGAAATTGGTTACAAAGAAAGGCTTCTGACCTTGTAAAAAGAAAATATAATATATCTTTTCCTCTCTCTGCCTATTTCCAATATTCAGACTACTCTAGAATTTGACATTGTGCTGCTTTCACTGATGGGCGGATGCCGTAGTATTGAAACAATTTTTATAATGGGGGTGTTGAAGGCGGAAACTGTGTAATTGGTTATCACTACTTCAAGCCAGGGAGTGCGGCAGCACCCCTAGTTCCAGCACCTATGGGTGGATGCTATATTCTCTTCAGACACTGGCTCTTGGTGGTTTTAACATAAACTCTTTTCCAACCACTTGCCACACTCACACTGAAATAAACAGGTCTGATATAAAATTTACCTCACTTAGACCATCTTCAGTTAAATTCTTAGTGACCTAATTTCTATCCCTCTAGATCTTTCTATAAATTGTAGTAATCAGATGTGGGATTCTGGTACACATATCCATTTTAGAACTAAGGCCCTGACTTCTGTAGGCTTTGGATCAGGAACCATTCAAAAGTCTAGTTACTGACTTTAGCATGTGCTTCTTAATTGGTGTTATCTGGGGACTCCCTTGGCTTCTTATATGAGCACTGTACTGTGCAACTGTTGATCACAAATCAGGTTGATATAAAGTGTGCATGCGCACTCACTCTTTCTCAGAAAAACACACCAATCCTCCCTGCTTGAGTTCCTTCCTTAGGATCAGGGGTGTGCACAAGAGAGAGCGGCAAGCAGGGGAAGCCCCCGCCCCCCCCGCAATAATCGGCTGGGGCACAAAACTCCTCTGACCCTGGGGCCATGGCAGAGACCAAGCTCCTCGAGGGTTGTGATGGGGGCACAGAAAGTGCACTTCCAAAAGCAGTCAATTTTTAATTCCTGCACCCACCCCTGCGTAGGATAAGGTAAAATTAGCTATACCCGAGAAAAAAGTAACTTCTGTTCAAATAGAATAAATTGTGTGTTTAAAAATCATGACGTTTTGTGCACTCAGATTTTCATTGTGTGAATGTGTGGGAATATGTCTTTGCTCTGGAGGTGATGTGATTGCCTTTGGACTCATTGCAGGAGCAAAGGAGCTTCCTTTTGCCCTTTCGTGCTATTCTTAGAGTTATGGCTTTTTGGGAACCTATAAATCTCAGGAGGGGAGTTTTGTATGGATGGTTTTACTAACTTGCACCATAAAGCTTTTCTGGGCTAGTCCACAGGGAAATTTATTTCGCTTTAGGTTAGTGATACCTCATAAACTTTCTAAGAATCTCAATGTGAGTCTCAAGGTGAATATAATATTCGTGTTTTGCTTTAGCTGAAGTTTTAAAAAGCTCTTTATGTCTAAGGTAATTTCTGAATAAGTCTCTTTTGGAGTTATTTAAAAATGACAGAGATTTGTTTGGACAACAGATTGCCTTCTGCTTTTTAGATTGAAGTGATTCTTCTTCAAAAAAGAAGACTTTAACAAACTCAGAGAACTGGTAGGTAAGGCCCCGTTGGGAGCAGGGCCGGCTCTAGGATTTTTGCTGCCCAAGGCAAAAACAATTTTGGCCGCCCCCCCCCCCGCCCCGCCTCAACTCCGCCCCTTCCCAAATCCCCAGCCCTGCCTCCTCCCCACAGGCTCTCAAGCTTGGGAGGGAAGGGAGCAGCGGTGCGCGAAACACCTGTTTCGCACGCCGCGGCCGCTCGGGATCTCCCCCTCACTCCCAGGTTTAAGAGCCTGGGAGGGAGGGGGAGACTCCGAGTGGCCGCGGCGCGGGCGCCGCTCCTCCCCCTCCCTCCTAGGGTCTCA